TGCCGGTACGCACAAAAAAGTGCAGGTACTCTAAAGGCTAAAATATAGAAGTGCGTACCGGCCCACTTCAACCACTGTGTGTATACGTATCTATCTATCTATCTATCTATCTATCTATATATATATATATATATATATATATATGGGTATGGTGGGGCGGAGTCAAAAGTAACAATTTTTATATTATATTATATTATTTTTTATATTAATTTAAACAATTATTATCAAACAATTATATTAATTTAGTAACATTAATATATCTTAGTGTAGGCTATATCTTTACAGTTTTATAATTCATTATTTTCTTGTCGATCCACCAGTTCACTTATTGAAAAATGCTAATTCATTCTCTGCCAGCAGGTGGCGCTTTTCACCAGAAATATAGCCATTTCCCCGTAACCGCAGTAAACAAAGCAGCTCAGCACCTGACTTTGAAACTTGCAGCGCTCATATTTAATCAATTAAATTGCCTTATAATATATAATAAGCTATATCTCATTATACATGTAAATATGCATTTACATGTATATTTAGCTTTTTTTCACTGGTGCACCACCTGAGTCTTCTTCTCCAGTTTCTACCAGTGATCATTGTTTCCTTCCCGCGGTACTACCTGCGCACATATCAGTAGCATCACTGGGCTGTAGGTTGCCAAGTTGAGGGGACAAATGGGTTGAAATTTGTATGCGTCGATCGTGTGAGAAAGATGCGTTTCATACAAGATCTGGCAACTGGACAACCTTGGAATTTGTTGTCGTGATTATTCATATGATGAGGTTTGGCCCATACAAATGACGGGAGTTTTACCGGAAATGAATGTAGCAAACATATAAAATATGCCCAGTGGGATTTTTTTTTTTTATAGAAAGATTAAAAATACGGGAAAATATTTAAAACGGGATGATAGCGGGATAGAATGGTAAAATACGGGAGAATCCCGGGAAAATGGGAGGGTTGACAGGTATGCTTAAATCTGGAAAAAAATGGAACAGTATTATTATTTTTTTTTGCTTTAAATAAATATCTTTCTTTAAATTCTAAAGACACTGAGCAAAAAGTTTTAGATAAAAATGCAGGCCTATAAGTGCAAAAATGGCGTTTAAAATCAAGGTATGATAGATGATAGACTACAACAAATTCAGTCAATGTGAACAAAACCGGCTTGTGAAATTTTGTAAAATAACAAGTCAAGGCTAAATAACTCAAAATGCTTCAGCTGGCTGATTTAGGATGTAATCCCAGACACATCAAGTGTTAAATGATGTCTTACTCAGGACGGTGAGGAAAGCCTTGGCTGTTTTGACAGGCATGGTGAAGAGGGAGCAGGTGTACATCCCCTCGTCTGCCAGCGTGACCTCACTGATGTTGATCGTCAACTCCTGCGACGTGGCTCGGACCAGCTCAATCCGGTTATCTCTCAGCGCTGCCGGAACAAACAATCAAGAGAGCACCATTAATTATGACACCTTCATTAGCATGTGCCATACTCAAGAGCGGCGGATTCTCTGTGACTTTCTCAAACCACTTAAAGTTTTAATGCATGCATTGAATACTTACCAACAGACAAGACATGAAAGCATTGAAACGTCAAGAATGTGCAATTTTAACCTAAAAAATTAATTTACAACAAGGAACATGTCAATCTATGAAAATATTCTCATATTATGCTAAGTATGAGGATCAATTCTTTGCTACAGGGAAAATTATTTTATGATGGCTTTCAGTCAGAGGGCAAATGGAATATGGATCAGTCAGGATTCAAATCTAACATAATTTCAGTCAACAGTGTACAGAATGAGCATTTATCGATTTGAAACATACATGCTTGAGCTCACCTCCTCATTTACAAACTCTGTATTTATGACATTTGCAGGTTATTTACCCAGTCGAGTATGAATAAAAGTAAAGTTCAAACTTATTATGATTGTGACCTCTGTGCAAAAGAGGCCTAAGGATACGGTTTTAGTTATTACACCTTTTAGTGTCCATCATCACACAGGCCTAATGGAAAGGTCAAAGTGCTAATGCAAAGGTCAAAGGCAAATGTGAAAGACGGGCAGTAATTCCAGAGGTATCTTTAACATGCTTTGTTCAATGATAATGACTATACTCGGAAAAAGTCTGGCAGATCATAAGATATCCGCCATGTGGCGGCACAGTTTAATCAGCGGAGACAAGGTCACTAGTTCTAACCTTCTGCTTTCCATAAAACTCACTCAGACATTTTGAGCCTCATTGATGCTCTGTAACAACCTGCCAGAATATTCGCGGATGAGCTTTATGGATCTTTTCTCACAGGAGAATAGAAAGAATACATTCTCATGGTCAGTCATCAAGGTGACCTTTCAAAGCTCTCTTAATAAAAAAGTTGGTCAATGCCTTAGCCGTTTGCCTTGTCATACCACCTGAAAACTTTAAATTGAATACAGCAGTGTTAGGGAATAGACTAGATACTCATTTATAGATAGCGTGTTTGAGTTTATGCGGCTGAAAAACGAACTGTGTTACAGAAAAAGCTACATTATTTAATAAATAAAATAATGAGTAGTGCCACTATTTTCATTTACAAAGATCAACAAATACAGTCATGATTGCCTAAATAGAAGCTTTATGGAGATGAATTTCATTTTGTGATCACAGTAGGTTAAAGCTCTCAGCCACATCGAGCCGTATACACAAATTACTATGTCAAAGGAACTTTAAAGGAAGTGTAAAGTGGAACCACGCAGGCACACTCCGGGCATCCAAACAAACATCCCACAAACCCACTTACACACCTCAGTGAGGCCTTTCGTAGTTGAAATAAAACAGCCTAACTGATGTTGTGTGTTGACCATGTGTTTTCAGACGCATCTCCCCAGAGGTCTGAGTGCAGCTCCCTCTGGACAGCAGCATCTCTGAGGTAATTGAACATAATGAGGTTCATTACAGGAAGAGATGCAGGCCAACGCTGGAATGAAAAAAGAACTTGCGGTACAGGCTGTTGTTAATGCCTTCCTGTCCTCTTTCCCAAATGAAGTGCATTTCAAATAATGTGACCACCATGGCAATGGTGTGTGGTGGATTATGCAAAAAAAGTTAATTATTTCAAATTAATTTGGATTCAGATGTGACTAATGCTGGGTTAAAAAAAAAAAGGTTAATCACAAGTCTCTGATGCTCAACATCAGGAACGTGCACAGACATTTTGAGGGGCAGGGGCTCAAGTGGAAAAAAGGGCACTTCTCATATTTATTTAAAATTTTTTCTAAACAAAACTTTAAATATATTAGGGGTGTGCAATATTGTATATAACTTGATTTTTAAAATTTTAAATAGATTTTTACCTTTTATGAGCATATTTACCTTTAAGCCTTTTAAAAGATACTTTAAATGTGAAATTAAAACTGCCAGTAGGCGGCAGCAAGTCACTGTTAATAAGTAAGTCATTGCGACTGAACCGAATCATTTAAACGGGTGATTCAATCAGGAAGAAAACAGTGTCATGTTGCTCAGAGACGCAAATTGAAAATATATTTGTTGGCGAAATAGAGCAAAAACAGTAAATATTGTGTCTAAAACGTAAGTGTCTTAATATTAAATTAAACTGAACTGCTGTATAAAATCAATATCAAATTTCTCATGTTGCTTTTTGGTGGAAAAAACATCAGTCTTCGCGTGATACTGATTAACTATATGAAATGATATAAATATATACATTTCTGCCCCCATATGTTGCATTTTGTGATAATTCTAAATGCATTTTAATAAACTGAATCATGCAGTGAAAGAACTTGGACTGGTCTAACCTACTAGACTTTAGCTAACTTGGTAGCTCTCATGAGTCATGGCAGGGGCGGACTTAGTGATTTGGGGGCCCTAAGCAAATTCCAGGAATGGGGCCCCAACAAAATAACTATGTGCTCTTTTACGCCTAACCTTTATTTTGCTCACTCGCTCTCATAGTTTAGAGTTTATTTATCCCTTCACAACCAGTAATAAGACACCCTGATGCTGTTATAAAGCCATATTAGGCTATCTTATTTGTTTGTTTGTTTTTGGATCACAAA